AAGATAGCCATTAATACCTTTTTTTAAAAAAATAGAAAATAGAAGACTAATAGAAGAGAATATCTATAGTTCTGGCTTGAATTGGTGTTCTCTGAGCTTGGCTATTGGCTTGCAGACGTTTCATTACCCAACTAGGTAATATCTTCAGTGCTAGTGAGTATGAGGTTTGCTGCCAGTTGATATTCAGTAGCTTGCCCTGCCGGTTTTAGTGGGGTTGTGGTTCCTGTACTGTTTCCTGCCTCATTGTTTGTGTGGTGCTAATCCTTGCTTATCTGTATATGGGCTATTGAAGGGGATGTGTTTTAGTTTTTCAGGAAAAAAAATCAGGAAGAAAAGAATTCTCTAATCAAGGAACCTCTGAGGAGAAAACCACACCTCCACCAAGCTACTGTTTTTAAAGAGGCAGGGCAAGCTACTATATAGTAGTGGCCAAAATTGTGGAAACCTTTTGGGAAAAGTGTATTTTTGAGGTTTGATGGCTAAGAACACCACTTTTTTTGGAGTAGTACCATAAAATTATATATCAATGGAAAGATAATTTAATCAAGAATGTAATGCAACAAAGTTTGTTCAATTATCTGTACTGTATTCTATGAAAAGTGATAACCAAATAACCCGAAAAAGGAAGCATAACTTGCTTAGGTTGATCTCAGGTAGCTTTCCTTCATCTGATTGTAGCCAATGAGCACGAGTGTTTAGAGAGCCAATCAGATCACAGTAGGATTCAGTTATTGATGTCCTGTATTGAAGCTGAGAGGAGGACGTGCGTCAGTGTGTTATGTGATCACTGTCAAGTTGGTTGGGGGTTTTTTTGCATTCTTTCATTTAGTGAGCTTGTAAAACGTAATAAAATTAAAGTCATGGTGCCAAGAGTTGACTGGTTGCCCAGAAAGCGATGTAAAATAGTATTATTAAGTGAACAAGGCTACAGTTATAAAGAAATTAGAAGAAAAATGGGTGGAAACTTAACCAAAGGTGGCATTTCTACTGTACACTTTTCCCAAAAGGTTTCCACGATTTTGGCCACTACTGTATATAAACAGCACCAAGACTCAGACTCTCTTGCACTGATAATGTCACATAGTTGGGTAATGTAAGGTCTGCAAGCAAACAACCGAGCTCATATCCTCCACAGGGCTTTTCTAGCTCACGAGAACAAAACCAGTATGTTTAATGAACCCATCAACAATTCTTAGGCAGAAGTCTCTCTGTGTGCGTGTGTCTTGTAGCAGGAATCTCAGTATCTTACTTCTAGTGTTATTGTTTGGATTGCTCTTTATGTGATGCAGCAGAGAATATTCTTGAGATGTGGGATTCTAAGCAGTCGGTTCTTTCTTTGCGGCTTCCCTCCCTCTGCTTTCTAAGCCAGTTTCTTAAGGTTTGCTTTTCAGCAAGTATATTCTCTCTAAGTCCCAAAGCCGCTCACAGATATACATTTTGCTGCATTGGGCTGTGTGCTGAGAATTTTTATTAGCTGCTGCTGCTGCTTCTCCTTTTTTTTGGGAGGGGGGGTGCTGCTGCTGGAGTGTGGTGGAAATACAAATGGAGCCGAAAAGCTGGAATTAATGTGCAGATACACTGAGCATCTCAATGAACGGTCCTCAGCCAGTTGGGCTGCGAATCCTTAGCGAACTTGGCAACAACAGGGTTGAAAGTTTGCTACTGTCAAACCTTGAAGGCGTAATTCCACTCTGCTTGGTTAGCATTAACCCTTTGCGGCTTGCTTGGAAAAGGAGAGCGGAGTGATGTTAGGAGATGATGGCCCATTAAAGAAAAAGAGCTTTTCTTAAGAGATTTGGCTGAATTCCAAGACGGGAAAGTGCACGCCAAAATTACTCTGGGCCAGGAGAAAATGTTCTATTTCAGCTGCATCAGAAAATGCCTAGCGAGGGTGAGACTATTTGTCAATCAACCCCGCTGCCGACAATGGCTTTTCAGTTTCTCATGCAGAAACGGATCCCATCATCTGCTGTTTACTTGGAAATGCATGCCAGAGGTTGAACTGCAGACTATCTGTATGTGCTCCAACCTGAAGTGAAGGAGATTATATTTCAGGATGGAGATAAAGTATCAAAGAGAGGGAGAGGGAGGGAGAGAGAGAGGGGGGGGAGAGGGATGGAAGGGAGGGAGAGAGAGGGACAGAGAGAGAAAGAGAGAGAGATGGAGAGAGATGGACAGAGGGAGGAACAAAGAGAGAGAGGGACAGAGAGAGAGAGAGAGATGGAGAGAGATGGAGGGAGGGAGGAACAAAGAGAGAGAGAGGGGGAGAGAGAGAGAGAGAGACCGAAAGAGGGAGAGAGATGGAGGGAGGGAGGGGGAGAGAGAGAGAGAGAGGAGAGGGAGACGGAGGGAGGGAGGGACAAAGAGAGAGAGAGGGGGACACACAGAAAGAGAGAGAGGCAGAGACAGAAATAGGGAGGGAGAGGGAGGGAGAGGGAGGGAGGGAGAGAGAGAGAGAGAGAGAGAGATCACATGGCTCTCTTGTAAAAATATCCTTCTTTTCAAGACTTGGTTGCTTGAATTTAGTTAACACACTAATGTTAAAATGGATGACCAGGTACACTGCTTGTCTTTTGTCCAAGCAGTTGTGTATGTGAGTGTGCATTTTTCCAATGCTTTCTTTTTAAAAGGATCAGAAATGTTTATATCAGGGTGTCCAACCTTGGCAGCTTTAAAACTTGTGGACCTTGTGGCACAAGGATCCAGGCCCATTCCGTGAGCTGCTCAAAGCTACTTCTTTAATGTTGCAGTGCCTATTTACCAGAATCTGACCAGACTGACCGCATTCTCTTGGGCACAGTCAGATAAGGCTTCAGGTTCTCTGTGGGAGGTAAGACCTGTGCTGTTTCCTGTTAGGCAAGGACTCTAAGCTGAGCCCCCTCTTCACATACATACCCCACTCCTGCTGGAGATTCCACCCCAAAGACAGAGACTTCCTTGAGTTGAACTTTGACTCTTGGTGACTTTATGGACCCATCCAAGTTGTTTTCATTGCTACAGTTTATGGAAAGGCACCTTCTGGGATGATTTTTTTGTTCTAGTTTTCCAGCCCAGTTTACACTTATTGAGTTTCTGTGGAAGTATGAACCAGGTCTGACCCTCCGTCTCTATTCCGGATCAAGTGAGGTTGCTTAGGTTCTGCCCCTCGCTGTGAATAGAGGCATCCGGAGATCTGCAAAGAATCTGTACTAATTCAAGAAGAAATTGACTAAAACATTAGACAGGAAGGAGTGAGAATCTGTAAACTTAATTGTGGAGTTGATACCTGGATATCTCACATTGGGCAGGGTTGAAAGCCCCATGCCTTTTAGCGCTGGCATCGTGAAGGGTGGTGGTGGAAATGCTGACTTCACAAACACGGGTTTAATTTATTTCACATTGTAACTTGTTTGCCTCCAGCTGTTTCTTTTCTGACAGGCACAGCAACAGCAGTAAGAAATGCCAACTGACACGGTAGTCTGTTGAAAGTTGAACTTCGACTTGTAAAAAGAAGTGGGGGGGAGGAGAAGGGGGAGCCGCTGGGATTAAAAACAACCCTTTAAAATGTCATTTCACAAACGTCTGCAGCTTGTTACAGGAAACGGGAGGCATTTCGTAGAGGAGAGTGAACAAATGGCAACTTTTCTGTTCTATGGGCAAATTTACGGAGTGCGGATTCATGGAGTCCTCCCCAGGAAATTTGGAAAATGCGACTTGAATATTGATCGTAATTTCTTAGGACTCTTTTTTTTTATTGAAAATTTTTGAAATTTTTACAAAAAGAAAAAAAAAACAACCCTACCCATCCCACCCCAACCCTCCCACTCCATCCCCCAACCTTCCCAGAGCTGAATATAGGCTTAATTAGAATTTCTTAAAATCTTAAAAAAATTGAAAAAGTATAAACCATAGATAAGTCTAAATACATTACATGAACAAGTTATAAAGTAATTAACAATAATATATATGTAAAAAAAGCATAAATATTAAAAAAGAAAAATGCTTAAAAGGAAAAAAAATAAGAAAAAAGAAAGAAGAAAAGAGATATAAAAAAGTAAAATAAAAATAAAAAATATAAGGAAAGAGAAAAAAATACAATCTATAAAATATTAAAATTTATATATAAGTTATTAAAAAACTAAGTATTTTTTACATCCAACTTATGTTGTATAAAATCTATCCGTTTTTCCCATACCGCAAAAAACTTCTCTTGCGATTGATCCTTTAAGAAAGCCGAAATCTTTGCCATTTCCGCCAAGTAAGAAACTTTAAGAAACCACTCTTGCAAAGTAGGCAAAGATTCCTTCTTCCAATATTGCCCTACTAACAACCTTGATTTCTTAGGACTCTTGATGCCTCTGTGTCAGCCCTTTGAGGTCGCCCAGACAAAAAAACCAAAACCAGGAATGGTAACCCAAATCTGATCTTGCAAAGTCTTCATGCCTTTTGGGGTAGTCCTTGGCTTAACAACAGTTCATTTAGTGACTGTTTGAAGTTACAAACGGCGCTGAAAAAAGTGACTTTGGATCGTTTTTCACACTTAACGACCATTGCAGCATCCCCCTGGTCACGTGATCAAAATTCAGACGCTCGGCAACATTTATGGCGGTTGCGGTGTCCCAGGGTTACGTGATCCCCTTTTGTGACCTTCTGGCAAGCAAAGCCAGATTCACTTAACAACGATGCTACTCACTTAACAAAGGGAGTGATTCACTTAGCAACAGAAACCTTGGGCTCAGTTGTGGTTGTAAGTCGAGGACTACCTGAATTAAGGAGAGAGGGGCAAAGAGCAATATATACCCAATAAGTTAATCCCCCCTCCCATCCCATCCCCCACCCCAGATTTTGTTTCAACCAAATCCTGGAGCAAAAGAAATATCCTAGGTTCTGGCTTGCTAAATCCACCGGAAGAGTGTGACCGAGCTTCTTGTACAGGAACTCTTTGTTTCCTATATGAAACGAAACACATTTCATGCATCCCTTTAATAACCTTCTCGTCTTCTTTTGTCTCCTGACCTTAGATCAGAGTGAAGGATTCCACTGTCGAGAAGAGTGTCGGATCCTTGGCCATTCTGACCGATGCTGGATGCCCCGGAATCCTGCCCCCGCCCGGGCCAAATCTCCTGAACATGGAAGGAACGTCATGTCCCTCTCTATAGGAGCTTCCAGTGTGGATACAGAGCTTTACGAAGACTCTAGCACAAAGAGAACTTTTGCAACTTTTGGCAAAGACAGGAGTGAACCCGTTTCTGAGGAACGGGGCCCAGTCACTGTCAAAGGTAAAAGGACATTGGATCCACCCATCTGTAGCCCAAAGGTGAACGGGGCCGTCCGGGAGGCTGGGAATGGTTGTGAAGCTATCAGTCCCATCACCTCGCCCGTCCATTTGAAGAGTCCCTCGTCCAGCAAAGCGTTGGTGTCCTATAGCATATTTCACTGCCCGTCCAGTCGCGACTTAGAGCCGTTTGTAACCAATGGTCCCTCCAGGCCTATGGAAGCAGAGCCGAGGGGCTTGGACAGTGAGACCACAGTGCATGAAATTAACCCTCTTCTACAAGAATGTAGAGAGAAAGACTCACCCGGCGTGAAGAGGCTAAAGGATATTGTACTCTAAGCGGTCCCGCAGATGGAACAAACCCAACGCATCCGTCACCAAACACAATTCACCATTTTTAAGAGCTTACTGACAGTTCACCAGGCAAAAGTTGCTGTATTTAGAAGCTTTCCTTCAATGTATTGTTTATAAAAATGAAGCAATCGTTAATGTGACAATCTCATATGGTTCATCAGGGGGCTAGTGAAGCAAAATGAACACCATTTTTATTTTCCTTTCCCCCTATTTCCTCTCTAGCCGGGTAAGTGACGTAGGGCCCTTTGGGTTGACGGAAGTATTATCCATAAAGTGTTTGGAATTCCCGGTGGGTTTTTTTTCCAGATAAAGCAACCTTGGCAAGAAATGGGTTGACAATTGGGTCTCTGGCGAATTTTGGGGGGAAAAGCCCTCCGATTCTGTCTTAGGAGATCTGTAATGTGGTGCCCTTGATTTAGATGGGGGGCAGCTGTGTACTAGGAACTTGGTTGTACTTATTCAGGACCTCTTGATGTGGGCAAAGTGCCTCCCCCTCATTAGGGTTCAGTGTGAAAACAAACAAACAAAACCATTTGTAGTCGATACCTAATCCTATGGAGCTCCTGATCTGCCCTGTATCTGGAGTGAATTCATATTCTAAGATGGTGCTCTTTTGCTATGAATCTCCCTTCGATCTGGAGAGCTTTCTGCTACCCCATGCTTCTCTGTACTATTATCGTATTTGATATCGCAAAATCCTGTGTGTCGAGTGTTGGGGGGGGGGAAAGGGCTTTTCAAGTTTTTGGGTTCTTTTTTTGTTGTTGTAATTGTGGTTGTGGTTGTGTTCTATGAACAACAATCTAAGACTTGGGGAACCTGCAGAAATTTAAGAGTCCCAGTTTCTGATCATTTAGCCAGGTGAAAAAACTGTGCAGTTTTTTCTTCTTCTTTTATTTCTATACCTTGTTTGCAAAAGATGCAAAGTGCTGAGGTCAACTTCTTTCTTTCTTTTTTTCTTACAACCTCAAGGAAGGGTATGATGTTATTTCTCCAAACTTTGATTTCCAGGTGTTGACCTTGCCTATACATTACTCTTTTGGCTTATCTAGAGACCAGTGAACTGAGCTTAGAGCTTAATAAGTCATTCCTGTATACCAGTGGTTCCCAATCTTTCTGGCACAGGGACTGGTGAATTTTTCCACGGATTGGGGGTGGTGGTGGTTTCAGTTTCATTCACTCGCCTATCACTCACCTCCAGCTGTGTAGCCCAGTTCCTAACAGGCCATGGACCAGTACCGGTCCATGGTCCAGGGGTTGTGGACCCCTGTTATATACTATAAGGTAAGCATTCATTCCATAAGCATCCTATCCTAAGTAATGCACTAACTACGTGTATTGTCTTGTTTGTATGTAGTTTGGGTAGCCCAGTGGCCCAGATCATTGTACTTCATGTTGGGCTAAAATCTGCCTTGCGGTTTCTCAGAAGTGTTCTTTCCTTGCCAAAGACGCTTCTGTTTTTCTACCTTAACTCTCAGGGTGCTTGGGAATTTCCCTTGGTGGTGATTTGATTCAGCTTTCTTGTGGAGATGGTAGAGGATGTTATTGTTAGTACTGTTATTTTCTTTTACACCTCCTTCCATCTCTCTGAAGTCCGCCTGTTCCAACCATACTTCCTATTTGAAGAAACCCGGGAGAGGATTTCTCTCCTGCCAGCTTCCCTTGAAATTTAAGGTAAGTTAAGGTGTAAGATACCTGATATGCTCTAAAGCAGGGGTCCCCAACCCCCAGTCTGTGGACCAGCACTGGGCCACGGCAGGCCAGCAACTGGTCCGCACAAACAAGCAAAGCCCCATCCATGGGATGCAGGCAGCACACAAAACCACGCACCCTCCGGTCCACAGAAAAATCTCTCTCCACATAACCGGTCCCTGGTGGCCAAAAGGTTGAGGACCTCTGCTCTAAAGGTAGTCCTTGATTTACAACCATTCGTTGAGTGACTGTTCAAAATGACCACAGGGACTTGCGACCGTTTTCCACACTCATGACCGTTGCAGCATCCCCATGATCACATGATCAAACTTTAGATGGTTGGTTGGCCACTGGTTCGTCTTTGTGATAGTCGCAGTGTTCTGGGATCATGTGACCAACTTTTGCCACCTTCTGACAAACCCAAGTCAATGGGGAAGCCCGATTCACTTGACAACTGGGTTACTAACTTAACAACTGCAGTGATTCACTTAGGAACCGTGGCGAGAAAGGTGATAAAATAGGGCAAAACTCCCTTAACAACCATCTTGGGCTCAATTTTGGTCGTAAGTGGAGGACTACCTGGAGTGAGGTGATGGTGGTGGTGGTGGAATCTGGCTGGACATTTGCATGCATCCTTCTGCCACTTTGTAATGAAATCTGTGCAAGGACATCTCACGTCACCCATGGAAGTTCTCCAAAATTCTCCTTGCCTTTGGAAGAAATGTGAAAATCAAAGTCTTTTCCATCAAGCTGAAGGAGAACTGGTAGTAAAAAAAATAAATAAATCAGATTCCTATCTCTGTCTGGAGCTAATTGTACCACTGGCATTCTAACAAGGAAGGCGGGGGGTAGCAAGTTCAAGTTGGCTACATGGACCAGACTGTTGTAGTTTTTGCAGCTGTTTGTACCTACTCTTCCCCACCAACTCCTCACAGCTCTAGTCATATGGGCCCCCGTTCAGTTGGTCAGCCATAGTGGAGGCAGATGTGGGAGGGCTAAATTACTTTCTCATAAGCATTGTTCTAATTACTCATGAAAAGTTCCCTTTGGCTTCAAAAGCACATCTCTGTTGCTTACCATTATTTCAGAATTTTCTGACCTTCAGATATAAGAGGTATAACTGCCCCCCTTCTCTCTCTCTGAGATTATCCACATATTCCTGCTGGTGGAGTTTAGTACATAACAGAAAGGAGGAAGGTGCACCAGCCTTTGGTGCGTCTGCCCTGATTAGAAGCAAACAACTAACTACAGCAGTGGTTCTCAACCTTTTTAATGCCGCGACCCCCAACCGGTCGTAAGTCGAGGACTACTCAACTGGTGCAGCACCGTTTGCAGACTGGGGCTTTTGGCGGGCTCAGCAGGGCAGAGACAGCCTGGACAATTCCTATTGGCTTTTGAAAGCCAATAGAATTAGACTCTATTCAAGAGAGTCTATTCTATTGGCTTTCAAAAGCCAATAGAATAAAAGGGAGTAGCACAGCTAAGGAAAAGGGGGAAAAAATGGCGGACTGCGTTGTTTGGCGACCCCCGTGAAATGGTCGTTCGACCCCAAATGGGGTCCCGACCCACAGGTTGAGAACCACTGAACTACAGATTAGTAATTTCTGAAGAAATAAATCAGGGAAGGTGGTTCGGTCCATTCCTAACAGCAGCAGTCAACTGCTGGAAAGATAAGTTACAGATGTAACTTCAGGAAAAGCATCAAGCAACCATAAAAATGCCCAGTTGCATGTGTTGTCAGTGTTTCAGACAATCCGTTCACCCTGCATCAGGCTGAAGCTTTAGGGAACCAAATAGCCATTGGAAATGGAGGACAATATTCAGACTGATGCTCTTGTAAAGGGAGTACCAGAAATGAATATATTCTGTGTATTTGTGTGCAAGTATGTGGCCTTTTCAACTTCAGCATTAATTAAATTTCATACCTAGACTTAGAGAATAGTGGAATAGGACTTTACACAAACACTAAGAAGGTTGTCTGCCATCCACACTCCTCTGAAATAAGACTGTGGCATTCCTGGGGTCTGATCCTGTTAATGCTGAGTTTTAGGACTGTGGGCTGAAAAGAATGATGGTGTTGCTGAGGAAGTCATTGTACAAAGAAATCAGCAAAAGCTTTAGTGTCTCCTTAAATATGCACATGTAATGTTTGTGAGTTTGTCCTCTCCTGAAAGACAAAATGAAAATGTCTTTTCAACTATGTAAAGAAACATTTTGTAAAAAAAGAAAGCGAGAGAGAGGTCAAATTTAAACAGAATCTGATTTAGGGATAATTATGTAGGAGGTCCTGTCAGTGATAGCTTTGATTTGACCTATTTGTCATCGGTCCTTCCCCTATTCATGATTTTCTGCTCCCAACTTACTTAAGAGAGACACTAAAGATTAGTACTATGGAAAGTTACATTAGGGTCTTTCAAATAATTGCTCTGTCAATTCAAAAGAGGGAAAAAAGATTTATTGTGGAACAATTTTTATGGCCTTTCCCTAGCTGTATTAAAAAAAGGAGAAAGTTCTCCAGATTTATTTAATTTTTTTTAAAAAGCTACAAAAAATAACATCCATTGCTCCCCCTCCTGTTTTTTTTTTTTGGTCCTGGAAATCAAATAAGCTTGGAGTAATTTCTTTTCTTTAGAAAAAAAAGAAAAAAGAAAAAGAGTAGAAAAATAGATAAAGCTGGGTATTCTGCTTTGCCTTACGCTTCTGAGGCTGTCAGGAAATTTGTTTTGCCTGGTTATTTGAATTTTTTTAAAATAAATCAGTAATAAGAATTGCGCCCCCTTTAATTGTTGTAGGTAGCCTATGACTGCAGCAGAAGCATAAAGAAATGTTATCCATGGACACATTTGGAATAAAAAGCCCCTTGGCATCTGCCACCTTATTTTATTTTGTTTTGTTTCATTGCATAGCATTGCACAAAGAAATAGGAACAATATTGACATCATAAAGGTCAAAAGAAAAATGTGCCTGAAAGAAAAACATGTGGAACAGGGCAAAATGTTAACCAGAAGTTGAGAATCCAGAAGAGATATTCCACATCTAATCAAGGAGAGAAGCAACCTAGAACGAAGGAGAAACTTCCTGATTGTTAGAACAATTAACCAGTGGAACAATCTGCCTACAGAAGCTGTGAGTGCTCTAACACTGGAAGTTTTTAAGAAGAGATCGGACAGCCATTTGTCTGAAATGGTATAGGGTTTCCTGCCTGAGCAGGGGGTTAGACTAGATGACCTCCAAGATCCCTTCCAACTCTGTTATTCTGTTATCTCATTTTTAAATATTGTAGAGATGGAGTGTAGGGGTTCTTTTGAAGTGGTGGCATAATTTGCAACCCTTTGATTTTTTTTTAGATTTTTTTTTAAAAAACCAGCTTTATCATTTTTATAAATAACTCAAGATAAGCGAACATGCCTAATTCTCACTGTGTATGCTTTGTGTGAAAAAGGAGAGGGGAAATGGCAGAGCATCAGTGGAAGCAATGAAAATCAAGTTCCAATGTATGGAACCTGGTAATTTACTTTTCCATCTACTCTAACAAGCATTCTTCAGCCTGGTTGGCATTTCAGATCCGACAACTTGTACCCAGCATGGAAGTTTGACGGATGGATATAGCAGAATGGAAATAATTCCACCCTGAATGTTACAGAAAATTGGTATGCAAACGTCCTAGAAACTTCTTCCTGCTTCTGATTTCACCTCTTCAAAGTGATGTATTTGTTCTTCTTTTGAAGAGGCTGTCAGTCAAAGCTCCTGGCCCTGATTCAATTCTTTGCAAGCCTAGTTCCATGCTTAAAGCTGATTGGAACAGCTGCCTGTAACAATGCCAGTTTATTCTAGGAAATGAGAGAAGGGAGAGACACATTTCGGTGTCCTTATCTGTGAACAAGTGGGTGATTTTGGATGGCACCAATCATTTGACTGGGTTCATACTCTTACTGCAATAAGGAAGCAAAGATTTTTATGCACCTTCCAATATAGCTTTCTCCCCCCCACCACCACAGTGTCGGGTTGAAACATATGCAGAAATTTAGGGAATGGCTTTCTAAAGAGTCAGATTATTGCTTTATGCTTTCAGTGTTTCCTATACTGATTAAGTGTGACTTTCTAGGCATAGGTGTCTAGTAGACGCCACAATGATGTAATCATCAAGTGAATAATCTGTGTAATTTGCACAGTGTCATTTTGAAAGAGATGTCTCTTGCTCTCCTCTTCCTTATCTTCGTGCTTTCAGACATTTCCCCCTGAAAATGTCTTGAGGTTGAACTCAGGACCTCTTCCATGCAAAATGCAGTCTTGACCTTCCAATGGGTTTTCACCAGTTGGCTTTCTATGTCAACGTTGTTCTATAATGTTTTGTTTTCAGCTTAGCAAGTAAAGCAAAGCCAACTATTGTCATTGCCAAACATTTGCACAATGTGAGAACCTGGCCCCCATTTAAGCAAACTATGTTTCAGCACCATTTTTGTCCACCTTGTTGATTAAATAACGTTTGTTGGGTCTGTCAATTAGATAGAATCCTGAAGGGTCCTTGATGGTCTCTGAGCTTAATTGTTTTCTTGCAGACATTTCATTACCCAAACGAAGTAACATCATCAGTGCATTGAGGACTAGTTTCATTTCATTACCTAGTTTGGGTAATGAAACGTCTGCAAGAAAACAGCCAAGCTCAGAAAGCACCAATGACCTCTCATTTTAACCTTGAGCTACAAATATTCTCCTTTATTGATAGATTAAATCTTGTTCCCGATGCCAAGGGCTTTTTCACAGTAAGGGAGGAGGGCATGGAGCTGGATTGAAGTACTTTTAATGGGGGCCAGCATATGCATCCTCTATGTTTAGAAAGAACAAAGAGCATTGGCTTGTGACATCAGCATTCTGATGGTTGCCTTTATGAAAACAAATTTATAGCTTCTTAGCATCCTAGCTCCATAATTTCATTCTAGGAAATAATCATAAAATGCAGTACTTCCACTCCTCTTCCTCCTGCTGTTTCTAACTGTCAGAATTGCTTTGCTCACCTGTTGGGTATAATACGGTTTTGATTTCAAGCAAAGCTTCCTATATACCATCGTAATTTAATCAATGCCTATTGTCTGAATGGGCAGCTCCAAATATAGCATAACGTGAGTGAATTTAAGAG